AACGAATCAACTTCTGGACTAATAATTAAAATCAATTCTGATATAGTAGTGCTCTGCATATATTGATCACCATCTAATGAAAATATTAATCCATTTCAATCTGCCTTAAACAGAATACTTCCGTTACTCTCAAAATACAAAACTGTTATACTAACCGGAAACATTAACATTGATATTAAAACCTCCAATAACCACTCACATGATTATTTAAATTGTCTTGCCTGACATGGGCTATTACCTGCTCATACCTTCCCAACTAGAGGTAACAACTGCCTTTAGCATAATTTTTTTGCGAACTAAATTTCAAGTTGTAACTGTTGTACTTGATACAACTCTCTCCGATTACTACTCCTCAATCAAATCAATCAAAGTTGTTTATTTTGCACTCTGCCTTTCTATCATATCTTACTGCATTTCATGTTGGAGTGTTGCCGCAAGAACTGTTTTGAAACCTTTAGAAAACGCACGTAGAGTAATTTTAAAGATCATTTCCTTTCGACCTATCTTATATCCAACTATTCGGCTCTGCAAAGATAATAACGTTCTCAATGTAAGACAATTGTTAAGTGGCGAAGCTTGCGAAGTCACTTATTGATTTCACGATGTCTGTCCGTCTGTCCGTATGTCCGTCTGTCCGTCTGTCCCACGATTATCTCGAGAACGGTTTTGAATTCTCAAATTCTGTTTTCAACAATCGATTACTGATCACCCAGGCATCTGAACCTCCTATTTTGAAACTGATAGGATAGGTCTTAAGATGAATATGAACAAAACAAAACAAATGTCATATATAATATTCATGGCACACCTATGCACTTAGTTGTTGGAAGCACTATGCTCGAAGTTTTTGACGAGAATGTTTACCAGGGGAAAATTGTGCGACTAGGATTTTTTTTTATAGGAGAGGGGGCAAACGAGCATGCGGCTCACCTGATGGTAAGTGACTACCGCCGCCCATGAACAACCGCAACACCAGGGGAATTGCAGATGCGTTGCCGGCCTTTTAAAAAGGAGTAGGCTCTTTTCTTGAAGGTCTCTAAGTCGTATCGGTCCGGAAAAATCGCTGGTGGTAAACTATTCCACAAGGAAGTTGTGCGAGGAAGAAAACATCTTCTAAATCGCACAGTGGTGGACCACCAATCATCCAGATGGTGTGGATGGTATCGGGAGTTCTGCCGCGATGTGCGTTCGTGAAATTTGGCGGCTGGGATTAATCCGAGCTCCTATTTTGAAACTGATTGTTCAACGGCAACCGTTAGAAACTGCTACAAAGCTGATTGCTTCGCCACTTTGCTATGCTGTTAGCTTGCTAGGTTTATTTATATTACATACAGTGATGTTACAACATCGCAAGGTCCCTTATATCGAAATTATCTAGTGCCGTAAGGACAAAATCTGCAGTATTCCGATAGTCAACTCTCATTTTGCTAAAAGGTTTTTCCCGTAAGTGGGTCTCCTTCTTTATAACAAAATCAATTTTAATATTCCCATTTATGAACTATCTAATTACAAATGTAAGTAAGCTATGTACTTCTTCCTATTACACAAGAGTTATGAAGAGACAGAGCAGTATTTATTAATAATAACTGACTAACTAATTTATATTATATTTGTATAATTATATGATGAGATTGACATTGACATTGCGCTCTCCCCCAGAGTCATTCGCCAAACTGCTCGGATAGGAGAGTAGAATAGGTGTTCTAATCTAGTCCTACTGATAATGTAAAAAAGTGAGAATTAGGAGTAGTGAGGGAGGATTATGTTCAGCAGTGGACTTGTGCAGGGCTATAATGATGATAATGATTACGACTTATGATGGATATTAGGTCTCTTTCAAAACTTATGTCATAAAATAATAGTTGCAATAATGATAAAAACTCCATCGTATGCCTCATAAAGGGGATTTTGCCACAGTTGCCATGCTTGACAAGCGGGTTGGCAACTGTAGTTTCTATAATTTTTGCAATTGTTATCAAAAAGATTTTGTTGCCCATCACCATGTATTTGTTTCCCTTTGTCCTCTCTTACGACACCCACGCGACGATATTGGGTAGTGGATATTCTTAGACATTCAATTTAGATCGTCTCATTCAGAAAGTGGTCTAATCTACTGATGGTATCATTGCAAGCTTTTTCAATTCGTTCCTTCTTCGTAAAGATGTGAGTATTTTCAGTCACTGAATCGTTCAGTTTAATAATATCCACTATAGAACCGATACTCCTCGGGGATTTTTTAACAGTTTCTAAATATTCAGCGTAACAATCGTTATCCAATTTTTATGCTAATGAGTACAATTTATAAGATATGTGGCAAGAGCGGACCCATGTAAGGATATCAACACCTAAATTTTCTTCTGTCGGTCTGTGCTTCAGTACAGGCTGTATACGATGTAGGGCAGTTTCACTGATTTGTTGCTGTGCTCGACAACAGATACCTCCTTGTACTCTGGGTACTCCCAGATGGGTCAACTTTTGTACGTACATTATTAATATATTTTAATTTAATTTTATAAAACACTTTTTCTTAAGAAAACGATTGATGTTATGATTTGTTTATTTAATTATATAAAAATAAAAGAAACATATCATCACACCAGTCTCTTGTTACGTCAGTATTTTAAAAGTATTTGAATTACTTATTATCTTTTATATTTTGGCTTTTTGGATATTATTTAAATTTTTTATCATAGCAAATATGGATAGATCAGGATAAGCCCATAGAATTATTACCCAGTAGAAACGCAATCTAGTACAAAACACGAGCATTAAATTGATGCAAGGTCATTATGTTAGTGCGCGCGAGCCGAATGTGCCTACGCTCGTCACACGCACACATACACGCCATTCAGTGATATCAGTTTATGGCTTTTGCAATAAAATTGTGCAAATCACTATTTTATTGATTAATTTTAAATAATCGAAATAATAAAGATTACGTATTACATATAAATATGTATTATATAAGAACATAAAATGGAATAAAATAAACACGATAATGATGGTACTAATATTACTTTATTATACATATTTTAATGGTACAAAAATGCAGATGTAATAAAATTTAAGAATATTATTAAACACAATTAATTTGCTCAAATACAATAAGCACATCGTGTAATGTTTGATTTTAACCGGATTCGAAAAAGGAGGAGGTTATCAATTTGGTGTATTTTTTAAATGTTTCTTACCTCAGAATTCTACAATTTCTAAACCGATTTAGATATATTTATTTGAAAGGATATACACACAGACTGTACTAATATACACGCTGAAATTTTAATGGTTGTTTTCCCGAAGTCAAATGATTTTGTCTTGGTAGTACAATAGATTTATTAAAATAAAAATTATTAGGATGCAAACTGGCAGATTTACAATCGAGAAAATCAAAACTCGAATGCTATCTCAAACCAATAGCAATATCTCGCAAGTAGATCAGGTGTGCAGGCTAGCTTATACCGTATTACTATAATAAAGTCTGAATAAAAAAAATCTCTGCACGTAACGTAGTATTACGTCTATCGCACGCGCTACCGCGCGCTGCCTACACAGTGAAGGGCCACTAATAAATGTTCAGGGCATAAACGCTCAAGCGTAGTGATACGACATAAAATAATCTGGATGCCCAACTATCTTGTGAGGTATTACTATTGTAAATCTGCCCTTTTTTAATTGTAATAGTTTTAATTTAAACAAAGCAGTTAAAATAAAATATTTGTGTTAAAATGGCGTCGACGAATCACGATTAGCTGATCACTCCGTATTAGTTTTAAGTAGGCACCCATTGTTAATATTATGTTAATACTTAGAGAAGTAGGTATCTATATATAAACATTTGAATTTTACACAGAGCGTTGCGATTAAACGTTTTAAACACAAATAAAAAATAAATATTTTTAAAAGAAAATTGTGATTTTTTTCCCTACAACTAGCAACATTTGTATCATGATAGCTTAAGTAAGTATTTTTTTAGTTTTACGTACTTATAATGAAATAAATATATGAACTTATATGTGAAATGTAATATCATCACTTCTTATATGCTTCATCACTGTTGTGACAATATTTTACAACACAAACGGTCATTTTTACAATTTTTCGCGAGCTTTTCTCCGTAAGACGTGACGTTGCGCACTAACGCGTCGCCGAGTGAACTTACGCGGTTTCGAGTTAGTTTTACTTGCTTCATTTTCGGTGCGCGTACTAGTATTCTATACGTAATAATTCTATGGATAAGCTATATACATAGATTTGTTTTAGACTTAGACGTAGAACACAGATTAGCAATCATCACCCCAAATTTTCTCCCTTTTTGCACCTTTAATTATAATACTTACTTACTTACTTACTTATCTTCATGCACAATCCCTGACGGGGTAGCCAGAGAGAACAGATCGCCAAGTGTCACGATCCTTACAAACCTCTTTCGCTTCTTTCAGATTCATTATCTTCTTCATGCATGCACGTCTAGGTATCCGAGTACTCTTGACCCTACCCTCTTCGAGCAATTTGCTCACATGGTCTTTGAAAGTTAGTCTCGGTCTACCTCGACACCTTTTAATATTAACTTTCGCGCTATATATTTTCTTCACCATTCGGTCTTCACTCATTCGCTCAACGTGCCCAAACCACCGAAGCACGCCCTTATCAATTTTTGTGATAAGGTCATCTTTCAAACCTGCCATATTGCGAATCTCTTCGTTTCGCTTTCGGTCGGCCATGGTAACGCCGCACATTTTACGAAGAGATCGCATCTCCACTGCATTCAACTTACTTTTATGCTTCTTCTGGCATACCCAGGTTTCGCTGCCATATAACAAAGTCGGTACCAACACTGCGTTATGTATTGCAAGGCGTGCACTCTTCGCTACGCCTTGCCTTTTGACTAACGCAGTCAGGGCACCATTGACTTTGTTCCCGGCAGCGACACGCCTGTCCACATCTAAATCACATCTTCCATCCCGGCTAAAAGCACTCCCCAAGTATACAATTTCATTTACCTGTTCTAGACATTCCTGATTTACCCATATTTCACACTTCGTTCTCTCTTCGTCCCTTTCAAATACCAGAACCTTAGTTTTATTAGCATTCAAACGGAGACCTTTAATTTCACATTCCTCTTTCATACACGTGACTAATGCCTGCAGTTCTGCCTCTGATGGTGCAATAAGCACTGCATCATCAGCGTACAGCAGACAATTTACTTTTATGTCACCCAATTTCACACCCAAACAGCTATCTTTCAGCTTCTGTAAACAGCTGTCGAGATACAGTATGAACAGCCAGGAAGACATGACACAACCCTGCTTTACGCCCGTTTGGACGTAACAGGGTAGGTAAACATGGGTGACAGGTCATGCCCTACCCGCACACAGGCTTTACAGTCACAGTAAAGAGACTGCACAGCCCTTAGCAATCGACCATCCACACCATACCCCGGCAACAGTTCCCACATTTTCTTCCTTACAACCTTATCAAATGCTTTCTCAAGATCCACAAAAGCACAGAAAATCTTCTGGTTAGCAGCCAGAAGCTTTTCCGTGATCATGCGGAGAGAAAACATTTGATCCGTGCATCCTCTTCCAGGTCTAAATCCGCATTGTGCCTCCCATAGAAATCTTTCCGATTTCTCTTGCATCCTACGTGTCAAAACCTTCGAGTAAACTTTACTTGCTAAACTGGTCAAGCTGATCGCCCGATAGCACCCGCAGTCAAAATGTGAACCTTTACCTTTATATAAAGGCACAATGACTGCGGATCGCCAATCATCCGGGACATCCCCCGTCCGCCAGCACAAATTGCACAGCAGATGAAAGCTGTCCCAGACGCGAGGCCCACCATACTTGACCATTTCAGCAGTAACTCTGTCTAGTCCCGCAGCCTTACCACATTTCAAACTTCGAATCGCACGTTCAATCTCTTTCATACTGATGACCTCAGTGTCATCGAGGTCCGGGTCTGGCGTACCAGTCACGGCGTCATCCCCGGATCCCTCACTAAGATCATCACACGCATACATTTCTCTATAAAATTCGCTCCATCGCTGCATGACGTCCGATTTTTCTGAGAGGACGTCATTAGTTCTCGAAAGCACTTTGTTCATTCTTAAGGCCGTCGCACCACTTCGGGTCCTTCCAACCTCTTTCCAGAAGAGTTTGGAGTTCTCCTTAAAGTTGTGCGACAACCTTTCGTCCGCTTCCATTCTACACCTTTCACGCACTTCCTCAATCAGTGCTTTCGTGTGAACTTTCTGCAGCCTATATCTTTCTTTCATCTTCTCTCTCATATCCTTATCATTACTAGAGGCCAAGTAGTCTAACCATGCTTTCTTCTTCTTCTTTACAGCTTCTTTCACTTCATCATTCCACCATGCATCTCTTCTTTTACTACTGCCTCTTTTTATTGTTACACACACTTCTTCCGCTGCACTTACCATTCCATCCCTAAGGTTCTGCCATGTTCTTTCTACACATTCGTTTCTGCCATCGATGGTGTCAAGCTTTTCGGCTACCCTCGCATGATATTTGTCCCTAGTATCCGCTTCCTGAAGCTTCCAGCTTCGGATGCGACAGACCGACTGTGGTTCTGTCACTGCCGTCCGGTAGCGCCAACCCGCGAACAGACCCCTAAATCTAGTAATCACTAGATAGTGATCCGTTCCCAGGTCAGCACCCCTGAACACTCGCGTATCCATAACCTGTTTTCGCAGTCGGTCATCCACCAGGAACAAATCGATCATACTTCTCTCATTCTTTCTTTCTCTAGTATACATATGGATTTTCTTGTGATTAAACATAGTGTTTGTCACAAGAAGACCCTTTTCCTTGCATATCGCCAGTATAAGCTTGCCAGCATCATTAACCCTTTTATCCCCAAACTTTCCAAGTATCGACTCGTACCCTGGTCGAGCGGTACCAACATATCCATTCAAATCACCACATACAAGAATTCTTTCGTTTCCCCTAGCCAAATCTAGAACTTCTCTTACATTCTCCCAAAACTCCTCCAGCTCAGCCCTGGACGACGAAGCTACCGGCGCATAAACAGCCAAAAGGAATAACTTCGTCAGTCCCAATTTAAAGCGAACCCAGAGAAGTCTTGAGTTCACAAACTTATATTCAGTCATAACATCGACCAACCGAGAAGACAGCAGCACTCCCACTCCCTGGCAGGCGCTCTCGCTCTCCGGGACTCCGGACCATAGAGCTAACGCCCCGCCAGGGAGCTCTTCAGTACCACTGCCCTTCCGTTTGGTCTCCGACATACACACGACATCTAATTCTCTTTCTTTCATTATTTCGATCAACTCATTCGTCTTATCTCTCATGCCTCCTCTAACATTCCACGTGCCAACTCTGCACTCTGTCCTCCACCGTCCGCCGTGTCGGGCTGTGCGTGACGGGTGGCGGTCCCCATCGCCGCTTTGCGCGCTGCATTCCACACCAACGGGGACGAGCTGGTGTGCGTCGCCTTGGGGGGACGCCCTAACCCTCGTTGGCATGGGTGCGCAGCTGAGTAGAATTGCAGCCCTGAAAAGGGCTGGCAGGGGTCGCGACGAGCACACTTCTACAATGACCCACATTATATCTTTCTCGGTTTCAAAAGTAATTTATTTCTCATGAGAACGCCGTGAAAGTATGGAATGTCACTTGCATGTTCTAATATGTCGAGATTAGTGAGCGCCCGTCTGGGTAGCCGTTGAATTAGTTTTTTGAGGGGTTAAGATATAAACCTGCTCCTTGTTTATGAGGTTGAATATCGACTTCCTGCATATCTTACCAGGTCGTCACTCCATCTAGTGGGGGGACGTCCTACACTTCGCCTGCCGGTACGAGGCTGTCACTCGAGAACCTTTCTTCCCCATCGGTTGTCGGTTCTTCGAGCTATATGGCCGGCCCATTGCCACTTTAGCTTACTAATCCGTTGGGCTATGTCGGTCACTCTGGTTCTACTGCGGATATCCTCATTTCTGAGTTTATCACGCAGAGAAACTCCGAGCATAGCCCTCTCCATAGCTCGCTGAGCGACCTTGAGCTTCCTCATCCGGCCAGCAGTGAAGGACCATCTCTCAGTTCCGTATGTCATCACTGGCAACACGTACTGGGTGTACAGTCTCGTTTTCAAGTTTTGAGGTATACCTGACTGCCGTGTAGTGGCGGTTAAGAATATCCACTACCCCATATCTTCCCGTGGGTTTCGTAAAAGGCGACAAAGGGAAACAGGCAGGAGATGGGCAGCAGCATCTTCCTGGTAACGGCAAAAATACAATAAAAAAACTGCGGTTGCCAAGCCGCTCGCCAGGCGTGGCAACTATGGCAATACACCCCCCATGATGAAAGTTACGAAGAGACGACCCCCAGTCCCCGGCGGCCCCGCTATTCCTGGCTACGGTGGCGACCATGGTAACGGCGGGGCAGGGGGTGCTAAGAATCTCTGGTGGAGGTTCGTTTGCCACCTACGACGACTCGACCTGGGGTAAATTTATTCCTTTTTTATTACTAAATATTTTCTTTGCAGCTGCATAGGTATATTTTATAGCCGAGTGACTGTCTTTGGGTTTTAGTTTTTTCAATTGAGACTGTATTTTTTTTATCCCCTTCTTAAATGCTTTTATACCGCTCCCCGCCCAGATTTTCGCTTTCATCGCATTTTTGACTATCCATGAGGCAATTTTTTCTCCTTTCCTAGCATCTTCTGATTTCAACCTGCTCTTAGCCATTTTCAAAAGTTCTAAATCCGCTTTTTGTCGAGTGCCCGAATCTTTGTTAGTGTAAGCAATATCATGGAGCATGCACGCTTCATCCAATTTGTTTATCTTACGATCGCCTTTCGTTTTTGAAGTTAAGTTCCGGGGCCGCAAAATTGATAGCCGGGTAAACGGTAAATTGTCTATTATTTTATTAATTATACCACTTTCTTTCTTCATCGATAAATATAAAATGAGATTATACGTTATTTATATACCTAAACTACTAAATTCACTTTTATCCACCCAACTATTTTCTTCATCACTCAAACCTAACCATTTTACTAAAAGTTTATTTCCTTTTCTTTTAAAGACTTTTTCAATAAGATAAAGGTCTGGAAATTTAGTTTTTTATAATTCGTAGCCGTAAAAAGAGCCTGGAATTTTTTGATTGTGTTTGTCTTCTGTTTGATAGGATTGAGGATTGATTTGGTTGATTTTAACGATACGAAATATTTCTGTAGACCAATTAGGGGTATAACCTTTGTAAAAATCTCCTTTGTATTTGCTTATACGAACGTAATCGCCAGCGTGAAACGCCGGTCCTTGACGTATCTTAGGCTTTTGAGACCTCTTGATGTTTGACATAACTAAACTCGCATTTGAATCATTAACGTTGATGGGCTTGAATTTCGTAATGCGATGTAAAGTATTATTACACCGCTTTACAACAAAATCTAAATTATTTTTGAACCATTGATATCATCCGCATAGACTGAATATTTTGTAAAGGTGAGTTTTTAAAGTTCTTATTACTCGTTCTACAATGGAGGCCTTTTTAACGGAGTACGTAGAATAATGATTTATATTATAATTTTTCATAAAATTCTTAAAAGAATCATTATAAAACTCTGTACCAAGATCTGTTTGTAAATTTTTAGGTTTTTGTCTTGATTCAGATAATAAACTTTGCATCGCATTTTTGACACAATTTTTATGTTTCGTTTTCAATGGTCTAACCCATACGTATTTTGATAGAGCATCGATTACTACTAGAACATATTTATATACTTTATTAAACGTGGAATATTTTTGAAAATCAATCAGATCAGCTCGCCATAAATCATCTATTCCTTTAATAATCGTATGTTGACCAGAAAAATTTCTCTATTGCATAAATTTCATTGTAAACCCCTGTGTTACCAGCTGCCTATGATCCAAGTAGTAATTTTAATCGTTGCACTAACTCGATTGGATCGTTCCAGTAAACCAACTCAGTATCTTTTTTAACTTCTTTTAAAATATTAACTCCTTCTCCCTTTGGAAGACTTTGTGCACTACTTTTATGATTTCTCAAGTGCTTAAACAATGGTTTGATCACTTGCATATATTTAAATCCATTGTTACTGTTAATAGGTTTAGATGGATCATAATTACGTTTGTGTGCATTAGTATGCAAAAGTAACAATTTATAATTTTGTAAGTCTTCCTCTGACACAATATCTAAATTTGGTAGCTTTTTAAACAATAAAT